AGTGTTCAGGAGTTTCTGGCTGCTCTTCATGTCCATCTGACCTTCATTAGCTCTGGACTCAATCTGCTGGAAGGACAACAAACAACCTCCAAGAAGTCTGAAACAAAGAAATCTGCAAAGACACTCTTCTACCAGAGTGCTGTGAACAAGGCCTTACAGAGTCCAAATGGACACCTGGACTTGTTCCTCCGCTTCCTCCTGGGTCTTTCCCTGCAGACCAATCAGACTCTCCTACGAGGTCTGCTGGCAGAGACAGCAAGTAGCTCACAGACCAATCAGGAAACAGTTCAATACATCAAGGAGAAGCTCAGTGAAGAAAGCCTGTCTGCAGAGAAAAGCATCAATCTGCTCCACTGTCTGAATGAACTGAATGATCGTTCTCTAGTGGAGGAGATCCAACAGTCCCTGAGATCAGGAAGTCTCTCCACAGATAAACTGTCTCCTGCTCAGTGGTCAGCTCTGGTCTTTATCTTACTGTCATCAGAAAAAGATCTGGATGTGTTTGACCAGAAGAAGTACTTTGCTTCAGAGGAGGCTTTTCTGAGGCTGTTGCCAGTGGTCAAAGCATCCAACAAAGCTCTGTAAGTAAACATCTACACTCACATTTATTGTTGAAGCATTGATGCAATGTATTGTTTATAGCAGTACCGTTTCTGAAAAATATTGTTCTGGTAACCCTTATTGAAGTGCCATCCAGATCCAGCCTGCAATGTACTAAGAGCTTTTCGTTAACTTGATTCCCCCCAAAAGAACGTTTTCACTTATTTGGAAGAGACTTGTTTTGAGACAAGTGCTAGCTTTACACTCAATATGTGTTGTTTTCCCAAGCTTTTGGGTCTCTGTTGTCAGCCTGTAATTCTGGGAGGGGCGGGGTGTGTCTTTCTCCACCCAATTAATATACATTGCATTAAATCATTCCCAGTGTTTAAGAAATTTTTAGTAATATCAGCCAGGACACTCTCTTCAGTGTAACTCACTGGTCAACATCAAGCACCTCCAGAATCTATTTCAACAAAATCCCAATATAGGTCTGATCTTTCAGCCCCCTCTTCCCAGTGAAGACAACCAAGTGTTCAATCATGATCTTGTCTCTATGTCCAATATTTTTGCGCGTCCTTTCTAATCCATATATTTTGGTCAATAAACTGTCTTTACTGAAAGAGTCAGTTATTTTAATTTGGAAAGTATGTGTGTCTTGATGCATTCTCAATCATCCAGGAAAGTAAATCTCCAAAAGTTGATTCTGTTCATCTAGATGTAGGATGTTTCAGTGGGAGAAACATTTCATCACTCATCCAAATGACTTCTTCAGTCTCAGCTGACTCCAGGTTTCCCTGATCTTATAAACAGTACATTTGCATAATGACTGAAACCAGTCCACTGAAGGAACAATAGGCTGGGAGGTCAGTTCCTTAATCTTAATTATGCAAATTCTCATGACCATTGATCAACAACCACTGACCAAAACCCACTGATCAAAGACCACTGATCAATGGCCATGAGTACCATTCAAAGAGAGTTGGGGAATGGCTGCAATCACAGCATTGTAAGATGGTGACAGATGTACCCTTAGGCCCCCTCCTCGATTCAGAGATGGTCTTTCCCTTGTCCAAGATGTGTACATCCTCATCATTGAAAGAGTGTCAACTGGCCTGTAGGTGTAAATAGACTGCAGAGTCCTAGCCTGACGAGGTATCTCTTCTGTGTTGTGCCATCTGCTTCGCCAGAGGTTGTTTGGTTTCCCCGATGTATAAATCCTGGCAATCCTCCTGGCGCTTAACAGCGTACACTATGTTACTCTGTTTGTGTCAGGGGACCCAATCCTTGGGGTGGACCAATTTTTGGCGCAGCGTGTTTTGGGGTTTAAAAGCCACAGAGACCCGGTGTTTAAGAAAAAATGCGTCTCAACTGCTCCGATACTCCTGACACATATGGGATCACTACAGATTTTCACTTGGGCAGTAGTTGTCCTTCTCTCCTGGAGAGATCAATGGTCATGTGAATTTTCATAATTAAGATTAAGGAACTGACCTCCCAGCCTATTGTTCCTTCAGTGGACTGGTTTCAGTCATTATGCAAATGTACTGTTTATAAGATTAGGGAAGCCTGCAGTCAGCTGAGACTGAAGAAGTCACT